AAATTCACCCTTCGAAGGCACCTGATTTCAAATGACATTAATGGATCAGATGCTTACATTCCATCCATGGGGGAGTGTGGCATCATGACCCCTCCCCTCTTCCTCACCTCCATTCCAGGTTTGTTTTTAATTTTGGTGCCCTTTGGTGTCTTAAGATTTTACTCTGCTGTAGTGTGCATGTTACCTATTGATCAGGCACTTAAGAAAAGTCATAAAAAGTAGTAAGATGGAATAATGCCTTTTCTTTCTCATACTCCACCCATCTACATTCACACACACAAAGAAATAAATCACCAGAGTCCTACACATTTCTCTAATTATTTGGGGGAGATTACCAGTAATAGTCACTTCATTTTTTCATTTAAGTTGCATTTAAGATATAGGCTGATTAGAAATTAGGAAAGACAAGAAATATTAACTCATTCAGAAAGAGGAATTTTTGTATCTTCCCTCCAATTATAGGATATACTAAACTCATTCCAAGTGAAATCTGACCTCGATTGTGAAAAATCATTTCAAACTTAATCACATTGTGTGTGTGCATGTGTGTGTGTGTGTGCATGTGCATGTGCGTGTGTGTGTGTGTGAGTGTGTGTGTGTGTGTGTGTGTGTGTGCCTTTGACTTATGACTCCAGCCTTTTCAAATCTCAGGTTTGTTAGGAGATTGAGAAGTCAACTGTACTCCTCTGGGCTCATAGCCTCAATCCATTCCTCTGCACATTAACCCCCTTGGGAACTGAATCCATGAAACGCTCACCAACCCTTGCAAGACTGGATGACAGTGGGGGAGCACTAGAGATCAATATTGCAGCTTCATCATGAATATGCAGAAGGAAAACCTCAGGTACTAAGGACAACAGTCTGAAGTACCAGTGGTGATAGGTGTACATATCACAGGCTAAAAGTCATGGCCCATCTGTCCAACTTTCCAATTATTCATTTTCTAGATTTTTTTAAATGCACTTTTGCTTCAACATCTCTAAGGCCTACCTAAGCAGACAAAAATGCGCAAAATAAAACAAATTCACAATGACTGTGGGGGAGAGAGGTGTGTGTATCTGAAAAATCTGAAGTTATGGGACCAGTGACACATCCAAGTTAACTCGACCTGCCTCTTTTCAAAGGTTGTAATAGGGTTGGTTTTGCCAAGTTATCTGAAGTAATCCCCAAATCTATTTCCTTCAGAAGATCCAATGTGTTCACTACTTTTTCATATCTAGTTTATGGTCACAAGCATTTCCTTGATCCTTTCCATGTCTTGTTTCATGTATGGTTTATTTTTAAGATACTTGATTTGATTCTTACACGCATAATAAAGATTTTCTGTAACATGTTTCCCAAAGATGATCAGCAAATTTTGAATGCAATGTCATACTGAATATGTGTTTAAACCTATGATGTACCAGGAAATGTATTAACAAAAGCCCAGTAAAGCAGACTTGTGTAAGTGTTTTGATAAAAGAAGTTTCCTCTTGGGGTCCATCCTTTATCTAGGCCTGTGAAAGTTAACTTTTTCTGTAAATCTCCAAGGTCTTGAGTGGTTTCCTCCCCTGAACCAATGGGCTTCTTCTGGCTTCCTTATGCGCCTTTATTTGGCTCTTCAGAAATAAATTTTTATGGGTTTTCCCAATCTGCTAAGTGGGAGCTTGTAGAATATCTTCTGACTCCAGCACTCCCACATTCCCTTCCTGATGCTTGTATTGCCAATGTCTAGAATCTCTCTTGACTCCAGAAAGGCTTGGGAAAAAAATGCAGGTGAAGCTTACTGGACAGTAAGACAATGAGAGATGAGGATTCTCGTACAGGAGAATAAAGCAGTGGGAAAGGCTGGATGAAACCTCAAAAGAATTGGATATCCTTGGGATAAGCATCCAAACATTTCAGGGCTTATCGGAATCAAGCCGAGTCTCCAAAACTTCTGAAGCTCCCTCACCTCCCATGGGACAGGTATCAACACCCCTCAAAAAGCACTACTCCTTCCTGACTGTCATACTTCCTCTGATTTCTTCTTTACAGAGTTTAGAGCCTAACTTGGGACTATTGGTTTAGGGGATAACACACATTCTCTTTAAGTTTTATGGTCTATAATCATGGTGCCTTGAGACATAGGAATCTTAGGATTAAGTGCCAAAAGGGGCTTTAGAGACCATCTAGCTTAGGGGTTCTTAACCTAGGGTCTGGGAACTAAAAATGTTTCCTTGATAGCTGCGTTTAAGTAGAATTGGCTTCCTTTTATTTTATGTTCTTAAAAACTTTCTGAAAAAAGCTTCACCAAACTGCCAAAGGGGTGAACACAAAAAAGGTTAAGAATCCCTGGACTAGTTGAACCCCCTTAAATCGCTGTATGCCAGGAAATGGAAGACAAGAAGCACGACATGACTTGCTCAGTTCTACAGTTAATAAGCAGCAGAGCAGTACACACCAACTCCAAGTTCAACTCTTGCTACACAAGGGGTTGTGGGATATTGATTTGCATCACAACACTGTTCTAAGCAGGGCTCAGGATGAAAGAGCTAAGACTCAAAAAGTGAACTCTTTGGAATAACAAAAGTTTCATTTGAAACAGTCTTAAACTGGAACTTGGGTTCTTGGAGGACGATAGAATTTAAGTGCAGAATATCCTGCAAATATGTGCCAGCCAAATGACTCCTTGGCTTCTTCTCAGGCTTTGAATTTACTAGTCAAAACACTTCTAGAGCTCTTCTCATTTTTCAGGAGATCCCTAGTACTGTTTCATGGAGAGCCAGCCTGGTAGAGTGAATTAAAGGAGAACCAGATCCAACTCTTACAAACACAGGCTATATGACCATGGGCAAGTCACCACCTCTAGTGGTTAGATACTAAACAACCCTCTAAGATTATCGTGGTGTGAACTGCTGATCTGTATTGTTCCAGTGAGTGTGTTAAACACCAGGAGAAGAGTTCCCCATCTCAATGAAATTATAGGTCCAGATCTGCTCCTTTACCCCTACCAAAATCATTAGGATTAGGACCTTTGTCATCATTAATTCTATATTAAAATCTATTCAAAAGAATTTTGTTGTATAGTGACAAATAAGAGGTATATGCTTTCTATGCCCTTCTATTCCATTGAGAAAAAAGAGGTATGTCCTTTCTAGATGGATAGGCCTATGCTGGACATCCCCGTCATTTTTTTTTCTTTTTATCAGTTCATAGCTATTGAGGCAAATGTAATCATAGAACCTAGTTAGCTACTGCCCAGCATAACCAGGTATTGTGTAATAGTTTATAATCGAATGATAATTAAAGCAGACGTGCGGTGAAAGCATCCATAGCAACGACTGATAACCTCTTCATCACCAAGTTAATATATGTACACTGAAGAGGGTTACTTTCTACACGTTCATAAACGTGTCTTTGATTACTATCTTCCCAAGTAATCAGTAGTCCCATAATGTGGTGTTATGTGTAATCAAGGTAGGTAGGTGTGCTCATTTTATTTATATCCTAGGAGTGGCACATTGCACAGATAACATACCATGATATATTTTGCTTGTAAGCATATTGACATCCATAGGATGAATCTTAATAATAATATCTATGGTACTTGTCTTCTTCATAATCATCGATATCACCAAAGCAGTTTGTGGCCTTGTCTCAATGGTGATTTAATCCAATTTTATGTTGACCAGGTCAAATTTTTCAAGTGCTATAATGGTCATGTACTCAGCTATTTAATTTGGTCAGATCATTAAAAACAAATCAACATTTATAGACTGGTTATTCATATCATTTTATATACCTAATCGGATTGACCACTTATCTAATCAATAGCTGGTCAGAGCAGCTGAATGGAAGAATGCTAAGATCACCAAACATAATGACATGGACTCTGTGTTTAGTTTACCTACATATGCATCCTATGATTGAAACTGGCAACTTCAGTGCCACATTTTTCTAATTTCTGAGTTGTGCCAAATGCATTACAGTTGTGAAATGACAATATATCTGACTCCTATGAAATTAATAAGACACTTGCCTTGTCAGGGCAGCAATATAGATTTTAGCTCCTCTCAGTACAGTGACCTTGTCCTTTCAGTTGAGATTATAAGACTGATCATAAATAATGAGATCTTTATAGCACAGAAATTAACATCCCTAAGCTGACCCAGTTACCGCCTATGTGGAGACTCTTCATAAACTTTAAAACTATATATAAACAGATACCATTTGCTTTATAATGTCTTTGATTTCGAATTCTGAGAGCTGACCAGTGCTCCACAATAGAGGTCCTCCTTAGCAGATATGCATATCATAAGTAAACTCAAATAATTCAGATGTAAAACCTGTGCTGATTGGGAGTCTCACCTACTCTCTGTTCTCCCCTCCTGGAATCTGTTCCTCTGGGCTCTTGGGATGGTGGAAGAAAATGGTGGCAGCCCTTGGGCCCCATGTAAAAGCTAAAGACATGGGGATGTACAGTGGAACTATTCCTTGATTGGAATAAGTTGAATTCTTCTTTTTTCCAACACTGTCTCATATTTCAGTAGAGGAATCTCATTCCTCCTATGGACTAAGTTAGCAAGGTTTTATTATACCAAAAAATGGAATCAGAATGCAATGAGGCTCCATTTTCAGGAACTCAGTAGGCCCTCTTAGAAATATGATGAAAGGGTTTGAGTTGATAATTGCCATCCACATATCTGTTCACATAATGGGCCTATCAACATGCCATATGAAACATTCTATCTTTGTCCCTTCATTTATGCTGTGTTCCATTGCTCAGAAGGGCAGTTAGGAGGTGCAGTAAGTAGAGTGCCAGGCCTGGAGGCAGGCCTCGTCTTCCTGAGTTCAAATCTGGCCTCAGACACTTACTAGCTGTGTGACCCTGGGCAAGTCACTCAATCCTGTCTGCCTCAGTTTCCTCATCAGTAAATGACCTGGAGAAGGAAATAGCAAAGCACTCCAGTACCTTTGCCAAGAAAACCCCAAATGGGGTTATGAAGAGTTGGACACAACTGAAACAACTGAACAACAACAACCATTGCTCAGAGTGCCTTTCACCTTCCCTCTGCCTCTCTAAATCCTAGCCATCTTTCAAGACTTAGCTCAAGTCCCACAGTCTCTGTGAGGTCCTCCTTGCCCACCCCAGTCTGTCTACAGTAATTGATTTCCTGACTCCTGAAGCACTTATTCCCTATACCTCATATTTTAGTATCTGATCATAGTCTACTTTGCGTTTCTCTTCAAGCACTCCGTGCAACATGTTTTTCTGTCTAGCTAGATAAGGGTAGGGTCCATCTTATATTTCTTTCTTTATATGATCTCTGCTTTCCCACTGCAGTGTCTACTATAGTACCAAGTACATAAGAGTTCCTCAATAAATACTTACTGAATGAATTAATGAATGAACTAACTGATCCTAATTTGTCTTTCATTTAGTAGGGGTGAGAAACACATTCATTCACTTTATCAGACACTCTGATGACATTGTCCAAGATGATAATGCAACTGTAACTGACAAGTGAGTAAAGCAAGTTGAACCTGGCTGTCCTCTGGGGGAAATAAATAAGTACAGATTATGTGGGCGTAAGGGTATTGATAATGATTGAAATGTGCCTTAGCCAATCCTCTGAGTATAAGTCTCTGCTCAATCACATTGAGTGACTCAACATTCTCTACCAAGTAAAGTCTGGCATTAAAAGCTCTCTATAATTTGGCCTAACCTATCTTTCCAGCCTTATCTCATACCGTCCTTCTTCATGCGCTTCCCAGTTCAGACAATCTGCACCATTCTTCAACCTCTTTTTGCCCTTTCCTACTTTTATGCATTGGCTCACACTAATCCCTTAGTCCTACAATGGATTCCTTCTCCCATCACAACCCCATCTCCATTTGTTGAAACCCTTCTCTTTCTTGAAGGCCAAGTTCAGGTACCATGAAGAACCTTTCCTGATGCCCCTGAGGGAAATGACCTCTCCCTCCTTGAATCTCACAGAACTTTGTTTGAACCTTGCCTACACATTGATCATAATCTAATTTGTATTTTATTTATATATGTACATGCCTCATCTCCCCTACAAGATAATAAATTCCTTGAGGGCAGTGACTGTCTTATTTATTGTTGTATCCCAAACACCTAGTCTGGTGCTCCTGCACAGATTAGGTGCTTAAAAATGTTTGTTGAGTTGAATTGTTGAAGCATTTTTGAGTTACTCATTTTTTGTTCTTTTTTTCCTAAAGAGAATGGGACATTAAATAAAATATCACTGCTGTGTTAGTGGGCTTGTTTTTCCTGGGGGTGGGAGGGAAAAAAAAAACATCTTATGCCTATAATGATATAATATTGGGGAAGGTATCTTGGTTTCCAAAGAGTAGCTAGGGAAATAACCAAAATTATGTTTTCCAAATTTCCATGATTTGGAAAACATGATCTGTAATATCTAATGAACGGTGAGGCTAAGCCAAGGATGACTCAGGCTATTAACATGTCAGCTCATCAGGCTGAGATTGTTTTCTTTCCTTTTTCTTTTACAAAATCAGTGAGTTTTCACCTGCTTATTTAGATTTACATACAGCATGTCAGAAGCTGACTAAGAAATCCTTCCTCAAAGTTAGCACTGCTTGGAACTAGAAAAATGTATTTCCAGTGTACTCAGGATGGTTACAAAGAAACATGAATTGATAGAAAGCTGCAAAATGTCACAACCTGCCCAGGGGTTTTACTTGTTCCTTGTGTTCCATGCCTCTCAACAGCATGTTCTCCTACCCAAGGCCTCTCCTACGGGATACCGCACAAACAAACAAACAAACAAAAAATCACTTCAGGCCAAAGGATGACCACAAAGAAAATACCACCTGGTTGGCTCAAGGTCGGTTAAAGCTTACTGAATTCTGACTCAGTGCACCAGTTTCAAAATGCACTTGTCAATGCATTTTGAGCCCGCCATGTGTAAAAGCATTTATAGTATATATGTAGCCACTCTCTTCGCAACACACACAAAAAGCAAGGCGTTATTTACATCGATGCTGTTTTAAGCTGAAAAGAGCAATCCTTCTGGACCAACCACCCCAAACAAAAGCCCAGGGTGGGTTAGGCAGATGATGTTGAGATGTCCACCTCAGAGTCATCCAGGAGGAAAGCTCTGCCCAAGAATATATTTGTTTGGTTCTTCCTTAGACGTACCTGGAGAAAACCAGAGGCGACTGGCCCAGGGCCTAACATGGTGGCTGCTCCCAAGAACAGACTGTCCTGTGAACAGGGAGGAATGTCAGCGTAACTGGTTTTCGGTTGGTTGGTTTTCTGAGACCCAGTCAACGTGAGTAAAATCTCATTGATTTCCTCTTAGAAGCAAACAAACAAAAACCAACAACAACAATGGGGGGGGAGGCGCAAGAAAGCAAGAGAGAGGAAAAAAAACCCACCAACCCCACATCAGTTGGCCCCTTGCAAAGAATAACATTTCGTCGAGTCTGTGGAATCTTATTGGCTATTCTCTTGTTGTTCCTCGTGCAGCCTGGGTGGCATGGGGATGTCGCGGTGATTCAGATGCCATAGTCCTGAATGATATGTGTAGTAAGTGCTTGGATTTCTTTGCTCTTGGGGTCAGTGGCGGTCATAGGCGGTGGCAGCCGCAGGGGGAGCTGCTCCTCTGGCGGCTGCACTGTAATAGTAAGGGGAGCCTGGAAGAGAAAAGAGGGCCATGAGGACCGATTGTGCCCAAAGTTGCAATACATGTCATTCCCAACCCTGGCTAGGGATCTACGGTAGGAAAAGAGCATAGGTGACCTGGACAAGCGGTTCCACAGTGGTGAAAAGATGACTGGACTAAGAGGCAGGGGGCCTGCCTTTGTCATTAACTAGCCATGTGACATTGGATAAGTCATAAACTTGCTAAGCTCCAGTTTCCTTATCTGTAAAATAATAATAGCTCACTTTTACAGGATGCTTTAAGGTTGGCAAGGTGCCTTGTAATAGAATTTATGAATGCATATTCTTAACACATTTCACTCAGATAAACTATAAGCTTCTGGAATGTAAGGATTGCTTCATATTTGTCTTTGTAGTCCTAGCACATGGCACTGAACCTGGTGCATAGTAGGTGCTTCATATATGCCTGTTGAAGGCATGAAGCTTGTTGCCGTGTGGGTCATTTGCTAACTGGATCTGTCAGAAGTGGAGATGATTCCAACTTGGTCAGGAAAGGATTCTCCAGGTCACTGAAAACACAAAATGTTTTTCTAAAGGAATTAATTTTCACGTTGATTGTCTACACCAGAGGTTTCAAACGAGGCTGTGGAGTGTGGCCTGAACCAGATTAAAATGTAACTGAGAAATATTTAACAAAAGAAGTAAAAATCAATGAAACGCAGATAACATTGCATTTTAAAACTAAATCACTATGTAGCCAGGGATGGGTTGACCTCATTTCTATTTGAGTCTGACGCTCTTGGCCTACATGAATCAGGATATTGAATGAATTGATCCATTCTTTACTTCTCTTCCTCTATGAAGTAAGAGAGTCTGAATATCTGTTCTCCAGGCTGGGGACCACTGGTCTAATTTGTAGGAAATCAAAGAGAGGGTTGCATGGCCTTAAATACCTTTTGAATCTGGCACAACACTTGGGTTTCCTGCCTAGAGCTGGAGAGACCTTCAAATTTGAAGAGACTTTAAAAATCATCTGTTCCAACCTCCTCGTTTTACTGAGGATAAAACTAAGGCTCCGAGATGAAATACCTTGCCCAGGTCACATGACTAGCCAATAGGAGAACCTAGAGGCAGCTAGGTAGCATAGTGGATAGAGTGCTGGACCTGCAGTTAGGAAGTCCTGAATTCAAATCCAGCCTCAGACACTGGCTGTGTGACCTTGGGGAAGTCACTTAACCTAAGTCTGCCTTGGTTTCCTCAACTGCAAAATGGGGATAACAATAACACCTGCCTGCTAGGGTCGTTGTGAGGATCAAATGATATAGTATTTGTTAAGCACTTAGAACAATGCCTGGCACATAATAGGTACTTGATAAATGATTGTTTCTTTCCTTCTTTCCTCCCTCCCTCCCACCCTTCCTTTCTCCTTTTCTCCTTTCCTTTCTCCCTTCCTTTCTCCCTTCCTTCTTTCCTTCCTCTCTCTTTCCCTCCCTCCCTCCTTCCTTGTCTTCTGACTCTTGGTCAAGGTCTTTTGTAGTATAGTTCACTGCCTTCCATCTTTCTCCGCTCACACTCAGGCACTCAATTTAGCAGCAATAGACAAAGGCTTTATAAAGAGGGTCGAATTTTACACATCCACTGGAGCTTCACCACAGTGCTATCCTGGGAGTCTAAGTTGGTGGACCTTTAGGATAAAACCTAAGGTCCTTTTGTTACCTCTGTAACTAATACCCTTTGGATGAAGTCAAAAGCAACCTGTCTTAAATTGAATTTCACTCTGTGAAGAACAGTGCTTTAACTAGCCTCCACTATCAGTCCACTTAATTCCACAGGCAGTAAATCAAACACTAGCCGGATGAGCTTATCCATCAACATAGGCATTGCAAAGCTATCTCCCATCACAGAATACTCCACTGAGGGTAGGAATCTTAAGCCTCTTAATTCAATGATTTCATTCACTATAGTATTGGCTTTGTTTCTTTGGAATCCTAGGTTACTTTTTTTCCCCTTCACTGAACTAAAAGCAATTTTAAAAATTGATTCTCTGATGTTAATTTTGGTTTCCTCCACTGACGTCCCACTCTGATGTTCTAACATGACACGTAGGCAAATCTGAATTGTCAAAAGCTATGCCAACAGATTGCAAACTCTGGCAGATACCACCAAGTTAGAAAGGCCTACTGTAGGCCCAGAAATAGACTCTGAGTCTGTCATGCAAATGTGGAAAAATGGGAAGTGTTCTGGGTATGGAATCTGAAGACCTATGTTGGGATCCCAGCTCTGCCACTTACTACGATAGTCATGTGACCTTGGGCAAGTCATTTAACCTCTATGGATCTCAGGTTCCTCATCTGTAAAATGAGGGGGTTGGTCTGGATGCTCCCTAAGGTACCTTACAATTCTAAATCTATGATTCTACCATGAACCTGCATAAGTTTCAAAAGACTCATCATTAGAGATTGGCCACTGGGTATATCTTTGACCAATGGGTAATGCTATTTTTGGCCACAGAAACTAATGTAACTGTCTACTAGGGCATTCAGAGATTGGTATCTATATAGGTGGAGAAAGTATCCGCACTGAAGAAATGAAGACTCTTTTGGAATATTTTAAATTCATTACCAGTTTTACCCTCTTGATCCATAAACCAGCTTGACTTTATTTGGGTGTTTTGCCTGGGCTGGCAATATTGGATTTGAATGATTACAAAAATTTGTTTCAATTGTCATTATCATTTGGAGGTACTAATTCAATCAGCTTTATTTCACACCTGCTATGTGCAAAAGCACAGTGTAAAGCATTAAAATGATAATAATAATTCCATAAACCTCCCTTTCTATACAGCCCAAAAGGTCAATCTAATCCATGAGGCCCATGGTGCCTCTGTGTGCTTTTGTCTTTATCCCCGCTATAATATTAGACACTGATATTTTTCACTTTATCACTTGATGATAATGATCATGATAATGATGATGATAACAATAAAGGATTTGTACTGTCTAAATAGCAGACTGGATCTCAAATGAAAATTTTCTATACTAAAGAAAAGCATCAAAGGCAAATCTCATTTGTTTGGCTTTAGGGACATGACAACCTGGTGTATGTAGCATAGTGCGGTTGGAGTCCGAGGACCTTGGCTCAAATTCCAGATCTGTCACTTACTAACCTGTGTGACCCTGAGTAAGTCACTTGGCCTCAGTTTCCTCACTTGTAAAATGAGATGGTTGAACTAGATAACCTCTAATATCCCATCCAGTTCTATTTTCTACATCCTTGTTGAATCAATGCCTGAAAGGATGGATGAATGGGTGAAATATACATACATATGTGTATATATAAATGTGCATATCTATACATACATATATTTATTGAGAGAGACAGAGAGAGAGGAGACCATAGACAGGCACCTTAGTCTTTTAAAGACAGATGAAGTGAAAAAAAACAGATGTTATTCTGGGTCCGATTCTGACCAGAAAAGAGGAAATAATTGCAAAAGTAGAAATGACAGGAACTGTGGGAAGAAGTGACCCAAGTGATCTTAGAGTTTGTGATAGAGAAGGAAGGGACCTCTGGTGTACAGTAGTCTGACATATCCTAGATTTCAGGGCAATAAAAGGATGTCACTGTCTAACATTCTAGTTCAAGTTCATGAGGGATGGGGGTACTCTCAAAGAAAATATTAAAATCAATTCAACAAGCATTTTCAAGTGCCTACTATGTGCAGGGGACTAGGCTAGGTGTGGGGTATCCAAAGACACAAATTAAACAATCCCTCGTGTCAAGGACCTTACATCCTACTAAGGAGATGCAATGTTTGCACAGATAAAATCCTGGATAAACAAATAGATAATTCTAGTGCAAAATAAAGGATGAAAGTGTTTGAAGAGATGGACATAGAAACTGAGGCAATTCATCAACCAACCAAGAGACAGAAGCAGAGGCAGGGAATTGAGGACAAATGAAAAAAGGATGTCATGGTCATGTAAGAACAGAGCTGGTACTAGCAATTTTGGCACCCAGGGCAAACTTTGCAAAATGTGTCTAGACAAGAGGCAGAAATTATGACTTTTTATCAACTGTTTAACACAAATTTGGCTGAGTGGAGGGGATAGAAATAGAGATACAAGACATCATGGGGAAGACACAGAGGCCATTGGACACTATGAGTCCGCTCCTATGGAGGTTAATGCCCAGGACAGATAAGGGGAAAGAGAAGGGTGGAACTAGTTTGTAGAGGAGCTCACCTAGGAAGAAGTCTTATCTGGGGGCTTCCAATTTTAACTAATCATTTTTGCTGGCTGGGTACTAAACACAATTGGTTCGTATGCTTCAGAAGGAGTATAAGTAACGTCAATGACCTATAAATTTCAACACACTGGGAAAAGCTCCAGTCACTCCACCTTAGTTACAGCCCTCTGTAAGAAAAATGTTAAAAATGCTCAAGCCCCAAACAAGGCATTCTGTATGGTTCATTAAGGCCAAGAAAAAGGACTTTTCAATCTATGTTGGAGATAAGAAAAGTAAAGAATGGATAATGCCACTAGATATCAAAGACAAAGAGGAAGCAGAACTACCCAAATTTTATTTTGATTTTTCATGATATACTTACGAATGGTGTAGAGATGTTGAGTGGATTTCTCCTAACAAACTAAAAAGACCGACACCGCTGAAAGATCAGAACTAGTTGGTTGAAATACCAAAGCCTAAGAATATTGATTAGTGGATCAGTGTCAGCCTCCAGGGAGGTTCTATTACAAGGCCTTAGGATTCTGTCCTTTGTCTTATTCTAGTCACCATATTTTTACCCACTGACTTAAATGAAGGCATACATGATATGACTATAAAATCTGCAGCTATTACAAAAATCGGGGAGGGATAGTCAGCATGTTAGATGATGGAATCTAGAAACAAAAACATCTCTACAGGCTAAATTAGTAGGTTAAATGTATTTGATGATGAGAATAAATGTAAAACCCTACATGTAGTCAGTTTGTATTACAGACCAGTGGTTTCCACAGTTTTTTTCATTATA